TGACAAATAATATCAAAAGTTTTCAAATGTAGTTTTGTCCAAGAGATGTTCTTATATTTTAAACTGGTAGAGTCAAAGACTAGTAATATTGTTCCTTATCAGATAATATGAAGTATTTTCCTCAGATTTCACCTAGAAAATTGTTTTGAGAAGGATGCATTATATCATAGTTGTAAAGACCATTGGCTCAAGGCAAGCTACCTGGGTTTTAAGTCATTCTCTGTTTACTACCTGTGGCCTTAGAAGGTTGCTTCAAACCCCTTTGTTCCTCAATTTCCTCACCTATATAATAACTGAAAAAATACCTACTAGTAGAGTTGTGAAGGTTAAGTGAGATAATTTACATATAGTGCTTGGCACATTTGGCATATGATTTGAAGTCAATACAAAAATTTAAAAGGCCATTCTATATACAGGAAAGGCTAAGTGTCCATCCAACTGGTAGCTGTGACATGCATTGACCATCGGGGGCAGATGCTCAATGCAGGAGCTGCCATGACACGTACTGGCCATTAAAAATAAACAGCACCACAGACTTGGTGCCGACAAACCAACACTCGGCTTCCCCCAGTGGGACACAGGCTCCGCCACCACCCCGGAGCAACACCCCACCAAATCGCAGCCAACGCTGCCACGACTCCATGGCGCAGAATGCGGCCCACAGCCCAGCCCAGCCTGGAAATGGTCGCTGTGGGTGCCGAGTAGTGACGTCACGTAGCTACGCCCGGCTTCCTCCCTAACGACTAGCCTCCTTGGAGTTTCTTCAGCCCAGGAACCCAACTTGCTTTATAGCCAGATGCAAACATTTTACAGTTTTCCCAAATGTTTGTAAAGCATTTTCCCGTGCCTCATCTTATTTGATCTTCACAGAAGTCCTGGAGTAGGTATATAGAAGACTCGATAGAATCCTATTTTCTTTTCATTAGTAAGACATGAATAGCGATATTAAAATATTTTTTCTAATTAATTGCCTTTAAATGTGTATGAATCCGTGCACTGGGACACTAGTTAGAAAGTGAAAAGCTTGAATAGTTCTTAAAGATGCTGTTTAAATGAGGTTAAAAGTTCTGACATTTGGTAACTTTGTTTTATCGCTCCTTTCCAGCGTGAGTTCATTTATTTATCAAATATCTGATGAGCATTTTCTGTGTGCCAAACAGTCATAATTGATGTGAATATAATGATGAAACAGTCCTTGCCTTATAGGAATCCACTGGTTTATGATGGAGAATGACAAACAGCTATTTCTAACACTTTAAGCACTTTTAGATGAGTACTGGATGAGAAGGTACCAAAAAAGTAGTCAGGGAAGGCTTTCTGGATCTAGTAGTATTTAGCCAGGTGAAACAGAATATGTATGGGATTAGCAGTGAGAGGTCAAGGAGCATTGAGAGAATGCAGAGTTCCAGAGGAGTGGGTTTAATGTGTCAGAGGCAGCTCAAGAGCTGAGGAGGAGTCAGGTCTCGAAGGACATTATATGTCTTTTTAGTGTAAATCTGATCCTGAGTTGGTTTTGGTCAGGATGCTGAGAGGACTGGAGTTAGAGAAACCAATTAGGATTCTTTTGCCATAATCCAAGTGAGAGAGTATTGTGGCATGAACTAAGGTGGGGATGATAGGAATAGAAAAAGGTAGATGAAATGAACCGACATTTAGGAGGCAGAATAAGCTGTTGCCTATTGGGTATCAATTATGTGTTGGAGATAGTAGAGTGAGGGTTAATATATGTCCTGGTTTCTTGCATGGAATACTGGATAGGTGATGGTATAATTCACTAAAGTAGAAAACAAAGGAGGAGGAAAAAGCTATAGAGAATGATGATTTTAGTTTCGGGCATGTTAAGCGCAGAGACACTCAAATGAAAATAGGTGCTAGTGTGTACAAGTCTGGAGTTCAAGAATGGAATCATCCAGTCCAGCTGGTATGGCTCAGTAGATTGAGCATTGTCCCATGCACCAAGAGGTCACCGATTCGATTCTTGGTCATGGCACATGCCTGGGTTTTGGGCTCAATCCCCGGTAGGGAGTGTGCAGAAGGCAGCTGATTGACTCTCATCGATATTTCTCTCCCTCTCCCTTCCTCTCTCTCTAAAAAATAAAAACATCTCAGTGGTGCTCTGGCTAGTTTGGCTCAGTGGCTAGAGAGTCGGCCTTCGGACTGAAGGGTCCTGGGTTTGATTCCGGTCGACACATGCCTGGGTTGCGGGCTCAATCCCCACTAGGGGGCATGCAGGAGGCAGCCGGTCAATGATTCTTTCTCGTCATTGATGTTTCTGTCTCTCCCCTCTCCCTTCCTCTCTGAAATCAATAAAAATGTTTTTTTTTTTAAATCTCAGTGGCACTAGGAACCTTGTGAGTAGATGAGATCACCCAGGGAGAGGGGAGAGTGAGGAGGGTGGGTGAAAGAAACCCTGGCAGACGCCAGTAGTAAAGGTACTGTTGCAGCGGTTCTCATCCTGTGGGTCGCGAGCCCTTTGGTGGTCGAACGACCCTTTCACAGGAGTCGCCTAAGATCATCCTGCATATCAGATATTTACATTACGATTCATAACAGTAGCGACATTACAGTTATGAAGTAGCAACGAAAATAATTTTATGGTTGGGTCACAACATGAGGAACTGTATTTAAAGGGCCAGAAGGTTGAGAACCACTGTAGAGGAAGAAGAGCCTGAGAAAGAGTGACTCAGACAGGTAGAAAGAAAATCAGTAGTGCTTTGAGAAGTCTAGGGAAGTATCAGCAGTAAGACCCATTGGAACTTTAGTGAAAGCCAGGCTGCCTGGCTTAAGGAAGCAAAGAAAAGTGAGGAATGGGAGGCATAAGTGTCAGCAGTATTGGAAGCACTTACCAATTGTACATCAGGTACATCATGATGTTTTATTCTAAGCATAATTTTTCTAATATCTTCTATTCCTTACCACATTATCTTTTTCTTTAATTTCAGTAAATTTAAAATTTCCATGAAATTTTCCAGTTCGGGACACGCTAGATTTTAATTTGAGTCATCATACAGAATTAAGTGATTCTCAGAGAACTCATTCTGATTTTTATAACATCCAAGTCTTCTGCACCATCACCATTTTTGTTTTGCTTTCCTACTCACTTGGGAATGCCTTTTTATTGCTTGCAGTCAGGGAGAGCCCTGGGAGTACCCTCAAATACGGTTGTTATAGTCAGAAGGCCATATGTTCAAGAACCTCTTGAGAACGTCATGCTTTGTAATTGTGCTTATGAGTGTATTTTTCAGTGTCACTAGATATAAGATGAAAATGTTTATGTTTGTACTTTTAGGCCTGGAATCACTTTTCTGACAATGAGGCAGAGCGTGTTAAAATGATGGAAGAAGTGGAAAAACTTTGTGATCGCCTTGAATTAACAAGGTATAACTACAGAACTAACATTGAAGTCTTCAGCCCTGGCCAGGTAGCTCAGTTTGGAGCATGCTGCCAATATGCCAGTGTTGTGGGTTTGATGCCCAGTCAGGGCACATAAAAGAATCAATTGATGAATACGTAAATAAGTGGAACAACAAATCAGTGTTTCTCTCTCTCTCTCTTTCTCTCTCTCTCTTCCTTCCTCTCTAAAAACAACAAATAAAAATTAAAATAAAAAATCTATTGAAATCATTTCCTGGGCTTAGGATAATTTTCATCCTTTTCCCCCCTTAGTTTACAGTGCTTGAATGAAACACTCACATCATCTACAAAAGAAGTAGGAAAGGCTGCTCTGGAAAAACAGGTAATGGAGGAAAACGTCACTTCTATTTGCATTTTAACATTTAGTTCTGCTTATAGTGTTGCTTTCACCTCAGTATTTCCCCACCTAACCTAAGTTACTATGAGGGCAAGAGAGCATTTCTCTTTGGGTCCCCCACTCTGCTTTGTTTATAGTAAGTGGTATTGTTTAAATTGCATTCAGTGATATGGTTATATGATGTTTGATTAATCATAGGTTTTTGTTTTTTAAAAAAATATATTTTATTGATTTTTTTACAGAGAGGAAGGGAGAGTGATAGAGAATTAGAAACATCGATGAGAGAGAAGCATCAATCAGCTGCCTCCTGCACACCCCCTACTGGGGATGTGCCTACAACCAAGGTACATGCCCTTGACCGGAATCAAACCCGGGACTCTTCAGTCCCCAGGCCGACGCTCTATCCAGTGAGCCAAACTGGCTAGGGCTTGTTTTGTTTTTTAATCATTCTCAGGAAAAAAATAATTGTTTTGGCTATTCCTTCAGCATTTTTGTAGGATAATAATATTTAGAACCAAGATACATTTGTTCTGTCTAGTCTACACCTTTTATTTTACAGATGAGGAAACAGGCCCAGAAATTAAATTGAGTGATGGCGAACCTTTAGTACCTACTATTATAGCACTGTGCCCAGATGATTCATAGAAATGCCTGCTATTGCTGCACAAAGGACTTCAGGAACAGTTATGCTGAGGAGAAAAGGCCTAAGGACCAAAAGATGGAGGGCCCCCAGGAAATGCTGTAGGTTAGACAGCGAGTGCCAACCCCAGGGCAGAGTGGTCAGGGAAGGTTTAGTGAAGGGTTTGAGCCAGCCTAAAAGGATAGACTATGAAAATGAAGGTCAGAGTAACAAACAGCATGAACTCTAAAATACGGGTAGCTATAGAAAGTCAGGGGGAGATGAAGTTGGTTAAGAAAAGTAGTGCCAAATGAAGTATGTTTTTAATGTCATTAGTTTCCATTACTGCAGATCTTTGAGTAGGAAAGGGTTATCATTGCACTATTAATCTGGCTTTGGACAGGATGTATTATACCTAATACATGTGCAAGTGACTATAAGAATGGAAGGGCTTGGACTGGGAGAGTGATGATGGGAATCATTGGGATTTTGGTGATTGGTTCTGAGGGATTGAAGTAAGGAAATGAGTCCAGGATGACTCCAAGATAGCATCCGCAGAAGCAACAAGGTGAAGTAAAGGTTTTCTTTTTTACTTGTGCATGTGTGAGGAACGATTTTATGTAACAGTGTAAAGGGTAGAACTTCAAGGTAAAACAGATACCACTTTGCTGTGCTGTTATCTTTTTGTTGAAAAGTAATTGAATATCTGCTGAAAGAGTGGGTATGAGCTTATTAAACAGGTTTGAAATGGCCTTGTGTGGGTGAATAACCCAGTGACTGTAGACTTTAGTGTCAAACGCACATAGAAATCACATGATCGAAATACAGGGTAGGCCAGGCAGAGGGTGGTTCTTGGTTCCTTAAGCAGAGCTTTGCAGCCAGAAGCCAGAGTGAAAAGCTGATGCTGGTTTTGGGGTTGGCCTGGGTCATTGGCAGGATAATACTGAGAGTTGAAAACCACCAACCCCAGCTAGAAAGGGAGTGTAGGGTAGCAAGATGCATTAAGTCCCTGACTTACCTATTATATTTGTGTAGATAGAAGAAATAAATGAGCAAATTAGAAAAGAGAAAGAGGAAGCTGAGGCTCGTATGCGACAAGCATCTAAGAATGCAGAGAAGTCAGCTGGTGGAGGTGGAAATGGCAGTAAAAACTGGTCAGAAGATGATCTGCAATTACTAATTAAAGCTGTGAACCTCTTCCCTGCTGGAACAAATTCAAGGTACTGATTTTAATTAAGTTTCTCTTCAACCCAGAGCCTGGGGATAATTTAGACGAGTGATGGCGAACCTTTTGAGCTCGGCGTGTCAGCATTTTGAAAAACCCTAACTTAACTCTGGTGCCGTGTCACATACAGAAATTTTTTGATATTTGCAACCATAGTAAAACAAAGATTTATATTTTTGGTATTTATTTTATATATTTAAATGCCGTTTAATAGAGAAAAATCAACCAAAAAAATGAGTTCGCGTGTCACCTCTGACACGCATGTCATAGGTTCGCCATCACGGATCTAGACAAAGCATCCAAGTAACAGCAGGAACTTCCAGAGATATGCTGTCTAGATAGACTGCCCTGTACTAAATTCTGTGCTAGTGGGAAGTGTGAAAAGCAGAGTGCATTTTGAACCTTCTAGTTTTTTTTGTTGTTTTTTAATATATTTTTATTGATTTCAGAGAGGAAGGGAGAGGGAGAAATAGAAACATCACTGATGAGAGAATCATTGATCAGCTGCCTCCTGCATGCCCCACACTGGGAATGGAGCCCACATCCCAGGCATGTGCCCTGACTGGGAATCAAACTGTGACCTCCTGGTTCATAGGTCGACTCTCCACCACTGAGCCACGCCGGCCGGGCTGAACCTACTAGTCTTATCAACTTACACACACACACACACACACATATACATACAGCAGTATGCTTCATCAGTTTCTCAGAAATTAAAAATTAGAAAAACCTTGACTCATGTTGGCTTATTCCATCATGGCTTATATTAGGAACTAGTGTATTCATAGTCTTCATTCATTGTTGCGTCTGACTTCAGACCCAAGCTTATTGCAGTTTTGAGTTTAGAAATCAAAGAAGCCTTAGAGATCCAGATTCCTTCGTTCTTTACATCAGGCAACTAAAGCTTTTTTCAGAATTACTTATCTCCTTAAGTGTGTGTCCAAATGGTGGGATACACTGAAGTATGGTTTTTATTTCCATTGATTTGTACACAGAACCTATAAGGTTTTATACAGACTTGAAATCAAGATTATGACAGTTGATTTAAACATATGAAAAGCAAAAACTAGTCCAGGCAATAGTGATGATTAGACCACTAATTTAGAGCCAATTCTGTAGATATTATAGCTAACTCTTCTGCATTAAAAAATGTTAGTCCTGCCCGGCCGGTGTGGCTCAGTGGTTGAGCGTCGACCTATGAACTAGGAGGTCACGGTTTGATTCCCAGTCAGGGCACATGCCTGGGTTGTGGCTTGGTCCCCAGTGTGGGGCATGCAGGAGGTAGCCGATCAATAATTCTCTCTCATCATCGGTGTTTCTATCTCTCCCTCTCCCTTCCTCTGAAATCAATAAAATATATATTTTTAAAAATGTTAGTCATTCTGGTTTTTGTTTTGGAGTTTTTGCCTTAATTATCCTATTGATTGTTCTAGATGGGAAGTTATTGCTAATTACATGAACATACATTCTTCTTCTGGAGTCAAGAGAACCGCCAAAGATGTTATCAGCAAAGCAAAAAGTCTTCAAAAACTTGGTGTGTTAATTTTGCCAAATCAGTTTCTTTGTTACCTTGGTTATTTTAAAATACTCTATGCAATTTAATGGAAGACTAAATGAGATGATCTGTAATATATTTAAATTTTTTCATTCCTCAGACCCTCATCAAAAAGATGACATAAACAAAAAGGCTTTTGATAAATTTAAAAAAGAACATGGAGTAGTGCCTCAAGCAGACAATGCAACGCCTTCAGAACGATTTGAAGGTAATTAAGTTTTTTCTGTAAGTAGAAGATGCTAGCCATGTGTCCACACTGTGTTAGGATATACAAGACTTAAGGTCTGTGTTCAGAATGATTGAGAAATAAAGTGGTTAGACTGGAAGATGTAAAGCAGACATTTTCAGGACAGTGATAGATTTACTTACCACCACTGAGAATCACAGTGCTTCCAGTTCATATGCCATTAGGGGAGAGGCTGTGTTTGTTTTCCTCACCAGATTTTACAAATCAGTGCTAAAGGATATTGGGACAATTGAAATTTGAGGTCTAAAACTAGATAAGGCTAGTATGCAAATTATCCCCTTAACTGGGAGTTCCACCAGTTCTACCAGGGGGTGGGCCAGCCAGCCAACTGCCTGCAGCCCCTCCCCCACGGCCAGCCCAGCCTGGTTGGCTCCAATCAGGGCAGGCTGGCCAGACCCCACCCGTGCATGAATTTGTGCACCAGGACTCTAGTACACTATAATTGTGTAAGAAAATGTCCTTGTTTTTAAGGGAAAATATATGGACGTACTTAGGAATAAAGGGGAAGCATGTCTGCAATTTACATGGTTCAGAACAAATGTGTATATAAAAAGGAAGAGTAAGCAAGTATGGTAAAACGTTCCTATGTGGGGAATCAGGATAGGATACATTGGGATTCTTTATACTCTTCTGAAATTATTTCAAAATGAAGTTAAAATCTGTTAGGGTGCTGAGAAGATTGTCTTGGGTATTCTAGCCAATTTTATTGCTCTAGACCAGGGGTGGGCCAACTTTTTGACTCGAGGGCCACAATGGGTTCTTAAACTGGACCGGAGGGCTGGAACAAAAGCATGGATGGTTTGTGTGAACTAATATAAATTCAAAGTAAACATCATTACATAAAAGGGTACGGTCTTTTTTTTCAATAGTTTTATTCATTTCAAACGGGCCGGATCTGGCCCGTGGGCTGTAGTTTGCCCACGGCTGCTCTAGACCAATTACAGTGTTTAACTGTAAATCATGACCCAGCCTCCCCAAGCCTCCTTCATAAGTGGGTCATGAAATATATTTAATGGGTCATGAATAGAAAATGTCATAGAGCATTATACCTATTTTATAAGTGAGTATTATTTATGAAACTTTTGTGCATGTATATGTTTTGGGATGTGACATTATTGAGCTGCTGACAAACTTTGAAGTTCTTTCTCTTCACACATTTGTGAGCCACCAGTCCTTTCTCCCTTAAACAGAGCTATTCTTAGATATGCTTTCCAGATCATAGTTCCAAATGTGTTTTGGGATTAACTAATAGCCTTGACTTTTACAAGTTAACCTGTCCCTGGCCTTTAACAATCCCACTTTTCCTGTATTCTTAAGATTGGTTTTGTTTATTATCCCAAAATTTGTTTGAAAATATTAAGAACTTAAGTTCTGTAGAGTATTGTCCCAATAAGCCAAGGTTGCAGGTACAATCCCAGTCAGGGCACATATAAGAATGAACCAATGGCCCAGCTGGTGTGGCTCAGTGGTTGAGTGTCGACCCATGCACCAAGAGATCACAGGTTCCATTCCTGGTCAGAGCACAGGCCCGGGTTGTGGGCTCAATCCCCAGTAGGGGGCCGTGCAGGAGGCAGCCAACCCATGTTTCTCTCTCATGTTTCTTTCTCTCTAAAAATCAATAAAAAAAAAAATGTATCTTTTTAAAGAATGCATAAATAAGGGGAACAACAAATTTTCCCCTTTCTCCTAAATCAATAAAAATGTAAATTTTAAAAAAAGCCTTTGAGATATTTTTCTGGCATGTGTGCTATTTCAAGTTTTTTCTCCCTCTCATTAATATTTAGAGATGTATGTGTCTTATGTCTAAAAATTTGTTTAAAATTACACATTATAGATTTGAATGGGCACTTGACAAGATACCTGTGCACCAGAAGACTCACTGGAAAGGTGTTCCAAGACATTTTTCTATAACTGGGGTTTTCAAATAAAAATTTTTCTTAGCAGGTCCATGCACAGATTTCACCCCTTGGACAACAGAAGAGCAGAAACTTTTGGAACAAGCCTTGAAAACATACCCAGTAAATACACCTGAAAGATGGGAAAAAATAGCAGAAGCAGTGCCTGGCAGGACAAAGAAGGACTGCATGAAACGATATAAGGTTGTAGATGTTTTGAGTTTATAGATTTTTGCTTACTTTAATACCACAGTAGTCATGGGCCATCTTAGAAACTTTCAGAGCTCTGGGAGTTAGTAAAATCAACCTTTTAGTAGTATCTTTAATTATAGACTTAACCAATTTGAATGTTTTACATATTTGTACCAAACACTAGAAATGTCTGCCGATTCTAAATAACACCTTTCTCTCTTTCTAGGAACTTGTCGAGATGGTAAAAGCAAAGAAAGCTGCTCAAGAGCAAGTACTAAATGCAAGTAGAACCAAGAAATGACTTAAGACAATCTTTGTTGTGTGTGCATTTTTATAATAAAACTGAAAATACTTTACAAGTTTTCATTCTTATAATTGTACGTATGGAGATAATTTGAAAGTGTGCTGTTCCAACATAATTTCTTGAGAGCTGCCATTCACTGTGGTAGCATTATCCGTTGAAAGTTTGATGCAGTGTTTCATTCAAATTTCCAAGTACGTATGTTCATTTTTATGTTTTCCTTTGGGGACTGATAGCTTAAAACTTGCCAGTCTCTATTAGTTTTATAAACATGTATGTTCAAAATATTTTGCTTAGGAGCATTTTAATTGCGAAGCCAGCACATGTTACTGCGAATCCTGTTAAAATCTGGTAGTTGCTCAATGGGACCTAAGGATTAAAAGAAAAGAAAGTTAAAATTGACTAAAAGGAAAGTACTTAGCCAGCTTTCTACATAGAAAAATGACCAAGCTTACCAACAGCAGCAATAGCTGGACTCTTGTCATAAATATATTTGGAACATACTTCTCGAATTGTCTCAGCATTCACAGCCTAAAATAAAGATACTAGCATTCAGAGCTTTTTACAGTAAAAACAAATTCTATACCAGGAATGATTCATATTTTTAGCTTTTGTAATAAGGATATTTTACACAAGACCCAATGGTAAGGATGGAAGAACTACTTACATCTACTCTTGCTTCAAGCTCAGGGATGGGAATCCTTCTATTATAGCACAACATTTGCCGACCAATATCTTCACAAATTGGAGTAGAACCTGTTTAAAGAGAAAAAAAGCTAAGCACTGGACTCTAGATCAATCGTATGAAAACAGAACTTACATCTTTATTCTTACCATCGAGTTGCAACAACATGTTTGTTTTCAGAAGGTTTTTGGCTCGTGCAACTTCACTTTCAGTGACACTTGTACAGAGTCGTATCCTAAAAACCAATTGGAAAAATCAAAATGTCAAGTAGTTAGAGTATATGTTTTATAATAATGACCTAAAGAAAGACATACTATATTCTATGTATCATACCACAACTTGATTTCAACTTATAAAACTTAAAATTACTAGTGTTCCCAATAGCTAAGCAAAAGCTAATCTGTTACTGATTATTTTCCTGGTATTGTTAATTTCTGACAATGATATGACTATCAAACAGAAGCTCAATAAAATATAAAAATAGGCTGCCCGGCTGGTATGGCTCAGTGGTTGAGCATCAACCTATGAACCTGGAGGTCACAGTTGGATTCCCCATCAGGGCACATGCCCAGGTTGTGGGTTTGCGCCTCAGTGTGGCGCATGCAGAAGGCAGCCAATCATTGATGTTTCTATCTTTCTCTCTCTCTCCCTTCCTCTCTGAAATCAATAAAAATATATTTTAAAATAGTCTAACCATATTTTGAGAAATGCTATAACCCCTTTGAGACTTCACAAATCCCCATCTGCTAGGCTCTGATATGCTAGAGGATAGGTTGGTAGGCAACTAAATTCTCTTTCTTTTAGGAATGGCAACTTCAGATACATTTTCATAACACTGCCTTTCCAAGCCAGATAACTTTTAGAGATGTTTTCCAAACTTCTAGTTGGAATTTATTTAAATACAAGAGGCCCGCTGCATGAATTTGTGCACCAGCGGAGTCCCTTGGCCTGGCCTGCCTGGCCTGTGGGATCGAGCTGAAACCAGCTCTCAGACATCCCCCGAGGGGTCCCAGATTACGAGAGGGCACAGACCAGGCCGAGGGACCCAGTACATGATTGGGGCCTGGGAGGGCTCCAGAGCATATCCAGCCCATCTTGCTCAGTCCTGATGGGCTGGACCCCAGCAGCAAACTAACCTACCAGTCGGAGTGTCTGCCCCCTGGTGGTCAGTGCACATCATAGCAAGTGGTTGACCAGCCTTAGCATATCATTAGCATTTTGGTTGATTGAACGGCCAACTGGATACTAAGCATATTAGGCTTTTATTATATAGGATTTTAAACTTCTAGGATCTCCTTTCTAAAGTATTCTTCTTAAAGAATTTTCTATAGTTGAAATCAATGCAGCTTCACATGAGACTTAAAAAAAACATCTGTGATCTTCAAAAACATGGCTGCTGCTGGTCTCATTCTTTTTATTACATACTAATAACATCAGTAGAAAATAATCAACATGAACAGTGCATAGAGGGAATTGGGTGTGAATTCTGGGCAAGATTTATTTTCTTACCATTCTTTTTGAACAACATGTAACATGTCTGCAACAGTGGCTGGTTCACAAACCATATAGATTCCCCATAATCCAGTATCTGTGTAACAAGTGTTGAAAGACTGGAAGCTATGGCAGAGGTTGCCGTGACAGGTAAGCTGGGCCAGCTTACTAGATAAGTTCTGTAAGGAAAATAAAAATGTCCAAGAGAACTGTAGATATACATACATGTCCAATTTATCAGAAAGAATGAGATATGAGACACACAGTGAATGACCTAAGAGCCTGAGTTTCTCCATTTTATCTATCAGCATGTCAAATAATAAATTTAAAATTCAATAACACTAAGAATTATACTTATCTCACCAGCCCAATGCACCCCCAGAGAAATTCATAATGTAAAAAGCAATGAATCCCTATAATTAACATAGTTACACTCACTTCTAAAATACCTTATTACCAACCCAATCTGTAGTGCTCTTGGCTATGTATGCTTAAAGATTTTAAATTATAGTGCATGTGAAACCTAAGAAATGAAATGTATTTTGTTGAAATCTTCGAGTACAAATTTATACTTTGTATTCTGACATAATCTCAGGCTTACAGGAAAGTTACAAAAACTGAAAAGAATTCCCTTTATTCAAAATACCTAACAATTCTTATATTACCATGCTTGCTTTATATTACCGTCCAGTTACTGTAAGTCCTACAATGCAAACTATCATTCTTTTTAACATATTTTTTCAGCTATTTGAGAATACATTGCAGATGTGATGCTTTTTACTCCTAAATACTTTTTAGTGTGCACTTATGAAAAACAAGGAAATTAACTTCACAACAAGCACTAAAAATTAGGATGTAACTTTGACTGTTAACAAATTCTTCTATCCTTATTCAAATCTTGTCAATTATCCCACTAATAAACTTTATGGCAAAAGGGAAAAAAAAATTTCTGGCTCAGGATGAAATCAGGATCAATTTATATTTTAAAAGTCAAAATTCTTAGTACAGAGTTCTATCTTGTGATTATTATGAAAAAACTTCTTTGTTTCTATTTTTATTTTTTATTTTTGTTAATCTTCGCCCGAGGATATTTTTTCCATTGATTTTTTTACAGAGAGGAAGGAAGAGGAATAGAGAGTTCGAAACATCGATGAGAGAAACATCGATCAGCTGCCTCCTGCAAACCCCCTGCGGGGGATGTGCCCGCAACCAAGGTACATGCCCTTGACCTGAATCAAACCTGGGACCCTTTGGTCCACAGGCCGACGCACTATCCACTGAGCCAAACTGGTTAGGGCTCCATTGATTTTTAAATAGAGTGAAAGGGACAGGGAGAGACAAAAGAGAAACATCGATTGGTTGCCCACACATGCCCAGACTGGGGCTGGGGATGGAGCCTGTGCCCTTTGAGGTATGTGCCCTTGACCAGAATCAAACCTGAGACTTTGTGGGCTGATACTCTAACCACTGAGAAAACTGGCTAGGGCTGAACAAAAATTTTCAATCACTTACCATTCCTCCTCCAAAAGAGCGATCCCAGTTGCCAATTAGTGTGTTTGCAACCATGAGACAGATTGTATCCGGATGCGCCCAACCAACAGCTTCAACAGCTATTGCAAGATGTGCTAAAGGCATCTTATCATCTCTAACTCGAATCTAGTTAAGATAAAGAAAACAAAACACTACATAACATGCTTAACAAGAAAGAAACAAATTCACCTTCCCATTAATTGCAAAGTTAAAATGCTCACCATGACTTACTTTGGTTTAAACTATTAAGCCTCATTACATTGTACAATCTAATCTAGAAGAATTTCATGAGTTAGGGACTTTCATCACAAGGTCTCCAATTGAAATACTAGACATAGCCACCAGATGGTTACCTGGTAGAAAAGGATTGCATTATTTTACTGGTAGAAATCAATCTTTTGTATTTCTTGATCTGAATTTTTTAATCTAAATTTAAGCTAATTTTGACATCACAGGCTTATTTTTGTACTGCCAATGCGATCTTCTATGTAACTGCCAACATCAGGCCTCCTTCCAGGCACTACTTTGAGCATCACTCCTAATGTGGCAGACTAAACCTCTACTGAGGCTTAAAACTATAGCTGAAGAGCGGCAGATTTCCTGCAAGTTCTGGCTCTACTGGGCAGAAGAAAGAACTTAGCCAAGAGTAAACCTAATGTGAAAGTCAAAATTTGGCGTGTTTTTAAAATAAAAGTTAACTTTTATACCTTATAATATATAAATGGGCATAGTGCCAAAGAAAAGCACAAAGACTAAATTTGCTGCCCTTAAAACCTTGCTTCCTTAGGAAACTAGGTGGTTAAATAATATGAAATTGGAATGAATATAAGCAAATGAGTCCCTCCTCTTCCCTTTTTCTGTGTTTCAGTTTAAGCTTTTGGTTTCTTCCATTTTACTCCTGTTGGAAACATGCACATTTTTGTATACTCATTCATAAATACAACACAAGAAACTCAAAAGGGTTAACTACTAGCTTAGGAGGCTTGCCCTACCTCACTTCCTGTGAATTTGCAGGGAGGCAGAGCTGGTGTTTCTCCTTTGTATGTGGACAAAGAGTCACCAAAATGAAACTTTGCTAACTCAAGCAGTTCATCATGGGAAACTCCTAAAGGAAAATATTTTACATATGTAGTAGCAGTACAATCAAAGCAGAGAACTAAATACTTCAGTTTCACGTAACTATTTGCATTCACTAAACCATTTAAGGGTAAGCTCAGACAGCAACAACACCTTTTTCCCTTCGTGTTATAAGGCTTTTGGTTGCACAGCTTTGTCATTCTGTAGAGCAATCAACAGTTATCATTAACATACCAGTGGATTCACAGGAAAAGATAGTAAGACAACTTGAAAAT